CTGCCTCCGTGACCCTGTCTGTCCTCACCCCTGCTTTGATTCCAGGCCTTTCAACCTGCGCCCCTGAGCCTCAACCAAACTGGAGACGGAAGGACCCCCGGGAGCGTCCCTAGAGCAGCCTTTCTGCTCAGCCACCAGCGCTCCCTCCGCACATAGCACACAGACGCCCTGGCCACGGGCAGACCGGCCTCAGATGCACGCTCCGCGGGCTCCTTGGCCTGCCCTGCTCTGCTTCTGGGTCCCCCCTCAGCCAGGCGCCAGGGGGGACCCCGCCACCCAGGCCCCTCTGGCCATCTTGCACCTGGAAGATCTGTATTGGGCTTGCCCTGTCCCCCTCGACCTCCAGCTCATGGAGCTGGGCCTGCAGGCGCGTCTGAGCCTGAGATGGGCCCGAGGCCGTCCTCACCGCCCGGGGCCTCGCTTCAAGGCCCAGCGGCCTGCGATCGGTCAGTTCTCTGTGCGCCCTCGCTCCCCCCACCGTCCCCCCGGGATGTAGCCAAGGACCCGGGGCCACCAGACAGTCGTGGCCAGGACTCCCGGCCCCCTCCCTGCCTCTCCGCTCCCTCCAAGTTGCCCTAAGAAAATAAATACAAGTGACACGGTGCGAGGCCAAAGCTCATTAGTTCGTTGTCCAGGCCTAATAAACGAACAGAAGCGCAAATTAGAGGGCTCAGCCTCCACGCACGCTCTGTCACCCGACATCAGCGGGCCTCCGGCCTGATTCAGGGGCTCCCCGCTCGCTGCGCAGCCCGCCCCACCCCCCCTCCCCTTCAGCGGGAGGCAGGGTGGAAAAATATAGTTCCAAAGGGGGTAATGATCAAGCTTTTCCTCCCGGAAGCCTGTGCCACCTCATTTCCCATCAGTAATCCCAATAAAATTAACGTCGTGGCTGCGATGGCAAAGAGGAGGGCCCCGCGACACCCCTGAAATAACCCCCTCTTTCCCCCCCCCAAGTCCCCCCCCCCCAGCCAAAGGTAAAATACGCAAACGGTCCTTTGTTCCTCTAATTAGCAAAGGCCCCACTCCGAAAGCAGATGTGTTTTCTTAGCTAATCACAAGCATGACTCTCTCAAGGAACGTCGTTTTCAGGGGGCCGCTTGGGGGGCGGGGGATGACAGAGCACCCCCACACCCAGGCCCTCCCTGGCTCACCCCAGACCAAGAGTCACAGGCCAAACCCAGGCAGCCCATCTCCCACACCCCTGACCCCACCTACGGCCCCCAGAGGCCCAATAGCCACACCTGGGCACCGGCCCCCATGTCAAACCTGCAAGACTCCAGGGGGGGGAAAATGAAAGTTTTAACGACACAGATGCCATATTAAATGAGGCAGTTTGACAATTCGCTTTGACCAGGAAGCTAACTTATTGCAAGCGTGTTACCAGAAGGACGGGAAGGTTTGTAACTCCGAGAGTCAGCTTTTCGCCTTAATGACAACGGGGGTGACGCGTGGAAATCTGTTCTCTAGGAGACACGAGGGCCCCTTCCCTGTTTGGGGGACACCTACAGATATGGTAGCCACACCTGGGCACCGGCCCCCATGTCAAACCTGCAAGACTCCAGGGGGGGAAAAATGAAAGTTTTAACGACACAGATGCCATATTAAAATGAGGCAGTTTGACAATTCGCTTTGACCAGGAAGCTAACTTATTGCAAGCGTGTTACCAGAAGGACGGGAAGGTTTGTAACTCCGAGAGTCAGCTTTTCGCCTTAATGACAACGGGGGTGACGCGTGGAAATCTGTTCTCTAGGAGACACGAGGGCCCCTTCCCTGTTTGGGGGACACCTACAGATATGGGGGGGCAGACCCCAAGCCCCCTTTGTGTCCTGATGGGCAGTTCCTCCTTTGCCCTTTGGCTCTGAAACCGGGTCTCCTGGCTGATGAAGTTCCTGGCTAAGCTTTGCAGCCTGAGCTTGGGGGAGGGGGGGGAAAGTGGGGGGCATAGAGGAGGGATGGAGTTGGAGGTGAGAGGGGACAGTTCTCGGCCCTGGGGTTCACGCAGCCAAAGGATTCCCCCAGTCTCTCTCCCTCTTCCCCACGGAACATGGCTTTCGCCTAAACCAACACAATAAGCAAACTTTCAAAAAACGGGGGTCCTATTACCAACCAACGCCCAGGACTAACTGCTTTAAAATTACTGCATAATTAGATTTAGCTGAATTTCACCATTAATTAGGCAGCCGCGCGGCAGGGAGCCTTTGAAATCTGAGAAAATGGGAAAAAATCATCTGAGGCGCGTTTGGAGAAACCCAACTTCAATCCATCTGGACGAGGCCCAGCGTTCGGACGGACCCCACCTCCCTCCCCTCCCCGGCGGCCAAGGGGTCGGGGCTGGGGCTGGAACTAGACGGCGGG